ACCACGCCATAAAAACCCCGCCATCTGAAGAACCCAATCTTTTGGAAGATTTCGGTTGGATTCCCACCCAAAATATATTTAGGCACGTGATTAAAAAAAAAGCATACAGTACAAAAAGAATTATCCCGTTAAATTTCCCATGCGATTCACCCTGCAACGCATTCCGTGGATAAAAAAAACCTCCGGCCCTTTGGGCCGTCCGGGATCAAACCCGGACCTGCTTTGCGAACGTGATAACCACTCACACAACCGCACAATGGGTAGGGAACGTCTTAAATTTAAAAAGAGACAGATTTAAAGCGTACACTAAATTAGATATCATTGCCATATATTATGCACGTGATTAAAGTAAAGAGTACTGTAAAAAAAAAAATTATCCTCGCTTTCCCCATAGGTTTTCCCCCCGCAACGCATTCCTTGGGGATAAAGTAAAACACTCCGGCGTTGATTCCGTCCGGGATCAAACCCGGAGACCTTTTTCGCGTTACGCGAACGTGATAACCACTACACTACGGAACCGCACAATAGGTAGGGGACGTCTTGAATTAAAGAAAGATTTAAAGTTGTACACTAAATTAGATACCCCAATTGCCATATTATGCACGGTTTAAAGTAAAGCGCAGTAAAAAATTTTCCCCTCGTGTGAATTAAGCGTATTCACCTTACAACGCACCCCGGGGGATAAAAAAAAAACACCCCGGCGCTTGGTTCTATCCGGGATCGAAGGGGAGTTTCGCGTGCGAAGGGAAGGGATAACCACTACACTACGGAACCGCACAATATTTGGGGACGTCTTAAATTAAAGAACAGAATTAAAGCTTGTACACTAAATTAGATATCACATTGCCATATATTATGCACGTGATTAAAGTAAAGCGTACTGTAAAATAAGAATTTTTCCCCTCGCGTGAATTTAAAAAGGTTTTCCCCCCCTGCAAAAAATTCCGGGAAAAGAAAAAACACTCCACCCCTTTTTGGGTTTCCCGTCCGGGATCGAAGGGAGACCTTTCGGGGTGTGAAGCGAACGTGATAACCACTAAACTACGGAACCGCACAATAGGTAGGGGGTTTGAATTAAAGAGACAGATTTAAAGCTTGTACACTAAATTAGATATCACATTCCATATTATACGGTTTAAAGTAAAGCGTACAGTAAAAAAAAATTATCCCCGTGTGAATTCCATAGCGTTTTCACCAAAACCGCACCCCCGGGGGGAAAAAAATAAAACACTCCGGCGCGGCTACCCGGGGATCAAACCCGGGGCCCCTGCGAAGGGAACGTGATAACCACTACACTCGGAACCGCACAATAGTTGGGGACGTCTTAAATTAAAGAAAAGAATTAAAGGTAACTAAATTAGAATCACATTGCCATATTTATGCACGTGATTAAAGTAAAAGCGTACTGAAAAAAATAAGAATTATCCTGGGTAAATTTCCCACAGCATTCCCCTGCAAACATTCCGTGGATAAAGTAAAACACTCCGGCCCTTGGTTCCGCCCGGGATCAAACCCGGAGACCTTTCGGTAAAGGGAACGTGATAACCACTAAACACGGAACCCACAATAGGTAGGGAACGTTTTAAATTTAAAAGAGACAGATTTAAAGCTTGTACACTAAATTAGATATCACATTCCCAATATTATGCACGTGAAAAGAAAGCGTACAGTAAAATAAAATTATCCCCGCGTAAATTTCCATGGGAACCCCCCCTGAAAACGCATTCCGGGGATAAAATAAAACACTGGGTGCTTGGTTCCGTCCGATCGAACCGGAGACCTTTCGCGGTGAAGGAACGTGATAACTCTACACTACGGAACCGCACAATAGGTAGGGAATCTTGAATTAAAGAGACAAAATTAAAGCTTGTACACTAAATTAGATATCACATTGCAATATTAGCACGTGATTAAAGAAAAAGCGTACAAAAAAATAAAATTATCCCATCGCGTGAATTCCTAGCGTATTCACCCTGCAACGCATTCCGGGGGAAAAATGAACACCCTGTTGGTTCCGCCCGGGATCGAACGGAGCCTTTCGCGTGTGAAGCGAACGTAACCACTACACTACGGAACCGCAAATAGGTGGGGAACGTCTTGAATTAAAGAGACAGAATTAAAAGTTGTACACTAAATTAGATATCACATTGCCATATATTAGGCACGTGATTAAATTTAAAGCGTACTTAAAAAAAAGAATTATCCCCGCGTGAATTCCATAGGTATTCCCCTCAACGCATTCCGTGGGAAAAAATAAAACACCCGGGCTTGGTTCCGTCCGGGGATCAAACCCGGGGGAAAACCTTTCGGTGTAAAGGGAACGTGAAAACCCCACTACACTAGGGAAACCCCCGCACAATAGGTAGGGAACGTCTTGAATTAAAGAGACAGTTTTAAAAGCTTGACACTAAATTAAAATATCTTTGCCATATTTTTGCACGGATTAAAGAAAAAGCGTACAGAAAAAATAAAAATTACCCCCTCGCGTGAATTCCATAGCGTATTTTCCCCCTGCAACGCATTCCGTGGGATAAAAAAAAACACCCCGGTGCTTGGTTCCGCCCGGGATCAAACCCGGGAGACCTTTCCCCGTGTGAAGGGAACGTGAAAACCCCTACACTACGGAACCGCACAATGGGTAGGGAACGTCTTGAATTAAAGAGCAGTTTTAAAAAGCTTGTACCAAATTAGATATAAATTGCCATATATATTATGCACGTGATTAAAGAAAAATTACGAAAAAAATAAAATTATCCCCGCGTGAATTCCATTAGCGTATTCCCCCGCAACGCATTCCGGGGGATAAAAAAAAAAACCCCCGGTGTTTGGGTTTTCCGCCGGGAAAAAACGGAGACCTTTCGGTTTGAAGCAAAACGTGATCCCCTTTTTTAACACTAGGAACCGCACAATAGGGGGGGAAAAGTCTTGAAAAAAAAGAGCAAAATTTAAAAAGCGTACACTAAATTAGATATAATTTTAATATATTACCCGTGTTTAAAAGAAAAAAGCGTACAATAAAAATAAAAATTATCCCTCGCGTGAATTCCATGGCGTATTCCCCCTGCAACGCATTCCGGGGATAAAAAAAACACTCCGGGTTTTGGTTTCCCTTCCGGGAAAAAACCCGGGAAGCCCTTTTGCGTGTGAAGCGAACGTGAAAAACACCCCCTACGGAACCGCACAATAGGGGGGAACGTCTTGAATTAAAAAACCTTTTTTTAAAAGTTTTGTACACTAAATTAGATATAATTGCCAAATATTTGCAAGTTTTTTTAAAAAGCCCCCTCCCCCTGAAAAATAAAATTTTTTTCCCCTCCAAATTTCCAAAGCGAATTTGAAAATTTAAAATTGGTTTTTAAGAAAATTATTGGGCCCTTGGTTCCCCCGGGGCCCGAAACCGGGAACCCCCTTTCGCTTTAAGCAACAAAACAACCAGGGGAAACCCAAATGGTGGGCCGCCAAAAATTTAAAGGATTTTAAAAAATTAAAATTGATACTTAAATAAAATTTACAGGTTTTAACGACGAAAAAGGTTACCCTCCCTGTTTTCCAAGCGGTCAACGAAAAGTCCCCAAAAAAAACACCCGGGTTGGGTTTCCCGTCCGGGATCAACCCGGAAACCTTTCCCCGGTGAAGGGGGAACGTTTTAACCCACTACACTACGGAACCGCACAATAGGTGGGGAAAAGTCTTAAATTAAAGAGCAGAATTAAAGCTTGTACACTAAATTAGATATAAATTGCCATATATTAGCACGGATTAAAGAAAAAGCGTACAATAAAAAAAAGGGTTTTACCCCTGGGCGTGAATTCCATAGCGTATTCCCCCCTGCAACGCATTCCGTGGGAAAAAATAAAACATTTCCGGCCCCTTTTGGTTTCCCTTCCGGGACCCGAACCGGAGCCCTTTTCGCGTGTGAAGCGAACGTGAAACCACTACACTACGGAACCGCAAAATGGGGGGGAACTTTCTTGAATTAAAAAAACTTTTTTAAAAAGCTTGTACACTAAATTAAAATATCATTAACATATTTTTTGGGAAAAGGGGATTAAAGAAAAAGCGTACAATAAAAAAAATTAAGGGTAATTGGGGGACCCTCCCCCCGGGGGAAAAAATAAAACCTCCGTTCCTTGGTTCCGCCCGGGATCAAACCCGGGCCCTTTTTCGCGTGTGAAGCGAACGTGAAAAACCCTACACTACGGAACCGCACAATAGGTAGGGAACGTCTTGAATTAAAAGGGAAAAATTTTAAAGTTTGGGACAAAATTTTTTTAAAAATTATAAAGGGCCCCCTTGTTGAAAAAAGCGAATTTTCCCCTGTGGAAAACCCATGGAATTAATTTACCCCGGCCCCGGGAGGGAAAACACCCCCCCTTTTGGTTTCCCCGCCCGGGATCAAAACCAGCCCCGCAGGAAATAAAGTAAACCACACCGGCGAAACGGAAGGGAAACGTTTTAATTAAAGAAAAGTTTTTAAAAGCTTGTACATTTAAAATTTAGATATCTTTTCCATAATTTATAGGGTTTTTAAAGTAAAGCGTATTAAAAAATAAATTTTTCCCCTCTTTTTAAATTTCCATAGCGTATTCCCCTGAAAACCCCATTCCGTGGGATAAAGTAAAACACCCCCGGCCCTTTGGGTTTTCCGTCCTCAACCCGGGAAAACCTTTCGCTTTAAGCGAACGTGATCCCTACTAATTACGGAACCGCAAAATAGGTGGGGAAACGTTTTGGGAAAAAAGAACGGGTTTTTAAAAACCCGTACCAAATTAGATATAAATTGCCATATATTTCACGTGAAAAGTAAAGCACAAAAAAATAAAATTTTTTCCCCCTCGCGTGAATTTATAGCGTTTTCCCCCCCTGCAACGCTTTTCCGTGGGAAAAATAAAACACCCGGCTTGGGTTCCGCCCGGGATCAAAACCGGAACCTTTCGCTTTAAGCGAAGGGAAAAATTTAATCCACTACGGAACCGCAAATGGGAAACGTCTTGAATTAAAAGCGGGGTTTAAAGTTTTTTGTACCCCAAATTAGATATCATTGCCATATTTTTATGCACGGGATTAAAATTAAAGCGTACAATAAAAAAGAATTATCCCCCGGGGGAATTCCATAAAATTCACCTTCCCTTTCCCGTGGGAAAAAAAGAAAACACCCCGGGGGTTTGGGTTTCCCGCCCGGGAGGGAACCCGGAGCCCTTTTCGGTGTAAGCGAAGGGAAACCACTACACTAGGGAAACCCCAAAGGTAGGGAACGTTTTGGGAATTAAAAAACATTTTTAAACCCGGTACACTAAAATTAGATATAAATTGCCATATATTATGCACGGATTAAAGTAAAGCGTACTTAAAAAAAAAAATTTAAACCCCTCGCGTCCCCCCCAAAGGTATTCCCCCTGCAACGCATTCCGTGGGATAAAAATAAAACACCCCGGGTTTTTTTTGGTTCCGTCCGGGATCGAACCGGGAGCCCTTTTCGCGAAAAAGGGAAACGGATAACCACTACACTACGGAACCGCAAAACAGGTAAACCCGTCTTGAATTAAAGAGACAGTTTTAAAAAGCTTGTAAAAAATTAAAATTTTCCGCCATATATTAGCACGTGATTAAAGTAAAGCGTACGAAAAAATAAAATTATCCTCGCGTGAATTCCTTTTGGGTATTCCCCCTGCAACGCATTCCGGGGGAAAAAAGAAAACACTCCGGGCTTGGTTTTTGGTTTCAAACCCGGGGAGACCTTTCGGTGTGAAGTGAACGTGAAAAATACTACACTAGGGAACCCAAAAAAGGTAGGGAACGTCTTGAATTAAAGAAAGGGTTTTAAAGCTTGTACACTAAATTAGATATTTCCCAATATTTATGCAGGGATTAAAGTAAAGCGTACGAAAAAATAAGAATTATCCTCGCAAATTTCCCATAGCGAAACCCCCCCTGCAACCATTCCGGGGGAAAAAAATAAAACCCCGGGTCTTGGTTCCGCCCGGGTCAAACCGGAACCTTTCGCGTTGAAGCAAACGTGAAAACCACTACACTAGGGAAAAGGAACAATAGGAAAAGGGAACGTCTTGAATTAAAGAGACAAAATTTAAAACCCAAACACTAAATTAGATATAATTTTCCATATATTAGGCACGTGATTAAAGTAAAGCGTACAAAAAAATAAAATTACCCCCTGCGGGGGAATTCCATGGCGTATTCCCCCCTGCAACGCATTCCGGGGGATAAAAAAAAAACACCCGGTGTTTGGTTCCGTCCGGGAAAAAACCCGGAAGCCCTTTTCGCGGTGAAAATGAAAAATTCACACACTACGGAACCGCACTAGGTGGGAACGTTTTGGGTTTAAAGAGACAAAATTTTGGCTTGACACTAAATTAGATATAATTTTCCCCAAATATTAGCACGGGATTAAAGTAAAGGTACGAAAAAATAAGAATTATTCCCTCGCGGGAATTCCAAGCGTTTTCCCCCTGCAACGCTTTTCCGTGGGTTTAAAAAAAAACATTCCCGGGCTTGGTTCCGCCCGGGAAAAAAACCGGAGCCCTTTTTCGGTGTGAATTTTAACGTGATAACCACTACACTACGGAACCGAACAATAGGTGGGGAAAAGTCTTGAATTAAAGAGACATTTTTAAAAAGCTTTTTACACTAAATTAGATATAATTGCCATATTTTAAAGCACGTGTTTAAAAAAGAAAAAGGTACGTAAAAAAAAAAAATTTACCCCCTCGGGGAATTCCATAGCGTATTCCCCCTCAAACGCTTTCCCCGGGGGATAAAAGAAAACATTTCCGGGTTGGTTCCGCCCGGGAAAAAACCCGGAGCCCTTTTTCTTTGTGTGAAGGAACGTGATAACCACTACACTACGGAACCGAACAATAGGTAGGGAACGTCTTAAATTTAAAAGGGGAAAACAGTTTTAAAAGCTTGTACACTAAATTAGATATAAATTGCCATATATTATAAGGGGAAAATTTAAAGCGTACAAAAAAAAATAAAATTATCCCCGCGTAAACCAAATAGCGTATTCCCCTGAAAACGCTTTGGGGGATAAAGAAAAACATTTCGGCCCCTTTGGGTTTTCCGCCCCGGGATCAAACCCGGGAGACCTTTCGGTTTAAAGGGAACGTGAAAACCCACTACACTAGGGCCCCTGGGTGGGGGAAAAGTCTTGAATTAAAAGAGACAGTTTTTAAAGCTTGACCCCAAATTAGAATAAATTGCCATATTTTTGGGCACGGTTTAAAAAGTAAAGCGTCCCAAAAATAAATTCCTCGGTGAATTCCATGGGTTTTCACCCTGCAACGCATTCCGGGGAAAAAAATAAAAATTCCGGGGGTTTTGGGTTTCCCGTCCGGGGGGGAACCTTTCGCGTGTGAAGCGAACGTGATAACCACTACACTACGGAACCCCCACAATAGGTGGGGAACGTCTTGAATTGAGACAAAATTTAAAGCTTGTACACAAATTAGATATAAATTGGGAAATATATTATGCACGTGTTTAAAAGGGTAAAGCGTACTTAAAATAAAATTACCCCCTCGCGTGAATTCCATAGCGTATTCCCCTGCAACGCATTCCGTGGGATAAAGAAAAAACCCCTTGGGTTTTGGGTTTTCCGCCCGGGAAAAAACCTTTTCCGTGGTAAAGGAACGTGAAAACCCACTACACTACGGAACCGCACAATAGGTAGGAACGCTTGAATTAAAAAAGACAGATTTAAAGCTTGTACACTAAATTAGAATAAATTGCCATATATTATGCACGTGATTAAAGTAAAGCGTACAAAAAAAAATAAGAATTATCCCTGCGTGAATTCCATAGCGTATTCACCCGAAACCCTTTCCCGGGGGATAAAAAAAAATGGGCCTTGGCCCCTGGGATAAGGGTTTTTTATGGGGGGAAATAAACCCCCAAATAAATCCCCAAAAGGGAGGAATTTAAAAAAACGTTTTAAAAAACCATTTGTTTCCCAAAATTTCCGTGAAAAATAAACCAATAAAAAAAACCCCCGGGAAAGGTTTAAAAAAATTGGGAATAAATAAAACCCCCTTGCCCCCCGGGACAAGGGCCTTTCGGGGAAAAGGAAGGCCACAATAAAAACCCCGGTGGGAAAAATTAAAGGACAATTTAAATTTTAAAATTTAAAAATTTTTTTTTGGGGAAAATGCGTGTAAAAAAATAAAAATTCCCGAATTTAACGTTTTAAAAAAAAAAGGGGGGAAAAAAAAGGGGGCCTTTTTCCGGGTAAAAAAAAAAAATTCCCCCCGGGGAATTCCCCCTTTCCCCAAAAAAAAAAAAGGGAAAAAAATTTTCCTTTTTAGAACTGAACCCATAAAAAAAAAAATTTCCCTTAAAAAAAAATACCCCTGAACCGTTTTGGGAAATTTGTTTAAAAATTTTTCCCCCTTTTCCCGGGGAACGAATTAAACCCCCCCGGGGAAACTAAAAGGGAAAAAGGGAAAGTTTGTTAAAGAAAAATTTTTTTCCCCCGGGTTTTAAAACCTTTAGCCTTTTAAATCCGGAAAAAAAAAACCCCGGAATTCGGGTTTAAATAAAAGCTTCCTAAATAAAACGGGCCTTTTCCCCGGGGAAGGCCCCAAAAATAAAAAACCCAATTTTGGGGGAAAAAGAAAGGGAAAATTTTGATAAAGAAAAAAAATTTGCCTTTAAAAAATTTCCAAAAATTTAAGAAAAAAACCGGAAAATTAAATTACCCGGGGGTGTTTTAAAAAAATTTTTTAAAATTTGCAACAAAAAAGGGTTTAAAATTTTTTTGGCGTTGTTAAAAGTCCCAAAATAAAAAATTTTAAAAGGGGAATGTTTCCCCCTTGAACCCCAAAAATCCTTTAATTCCCGGGGTTCCGGGGAAAAAACCCTTTTGGGAAAAGAAAAACCCCTAACCCGGAACCCCAAATGGTTAAAAACCTTTTTTAAAAAAGCCCCTTTTCAAAAATTTTTGACAAAAAATTGTTTAAAACAAAAAAAATAAAATTTTTCCCCTAAACAAAAAAACCCGTTTTAAAAAAAAATTTTGGGTTTGCCCCGGGACCCAAAACCCCCCGGGGTTAAAAAACTTTGGGCCCCAAATAACCCCAAAAAAAAAGAAAAAACCCCCCCCCCTTTTTAAAATTTTAAGGAAAATTTGCTAAAAATAAAAAATTCCTTAAAACCGAAAAAAAAGGGCCCTTAAATAAAAATCCGTTTTCCCCGGGTTTAACGGGAACGGTTAAAAAAAGGAAATAAAAATGGGGGGAAAAGGGGCCCCTAAGGGGAAAAAAAAATCCCCCCTTTGGGAATCGTTTTTAGACTTTTTTAAAAAAAAAAAATTTTCCCTCAAAAATTTATGGGGCCGAAAAAAAAAAATTTGCTTGCCCCATTTTGAATTTTTGGGAAAATAAAAAAACCCCTTTGGGAATTTTGGGGGGCCCTTGGAAAAAGGAAAATTTAAAGGAAAAAGGGGGGTTTTTTTGGGGAAAAAAAATTAAAAAAAATAAATTTTCCTAAAAAAATTTTTTAAAAAAATTTTTAAAAAAAAAAAAGGGTTTTCCCCTAAACCCCTTTTTAAAAAAGGATAAATTGGCCCTTTGGGCCCCAACAAATTTGCGTTTAAAAAACGATTTTAAAAAAAAACCCCCTTTTAAAAAAAGGGTTTTTAATAAAAAATTCCTGGAAAAGCAAAAAAACCTAAAAAAAAAAAACCCGCCCTTTTTTTTTAAAAAACCGGTTAAAAAAAAAAAAAAACCCCCCCGGGGGAAAAAAGGGGCCCCTCCCTTTTTTTGGGGGATAAAACACTAGGCCCGGTTTTAAAAGGGGTTTAAATAAAGCGAATAAAAAAAAAAAAGAATTTTGGGGAATTTAAAAAAGGAAAAAAAAAAAACCTCCTTTTCTTTCCCCCCTAATTTTTAAAAAAAAACCATTTTTCCCTGGTAACCAATTTTAAAAAAAAAACCCTGAAAAAATAAAACTTTTTTGGGAGGGAAAAAAGGAAAAAAAATTACCACTAATAGCCCCCACATGGGGGGGAACGTTTAATTAAAGAAAAATAAAATTTAAAAAAAATTGTTAATTCATATTTACCTGAAAAGAAATTTAAAAAAAAAAAATTTTTTCCCTCGCGTAACCATAGCGTATTAAACCCCTGCAACGCATTCCGTGGATAAAAAAACACCCCGGGCCCTTGGTTCCGCCCGGGGATCAACGAGACCTTTCGCGTGTGGGCGAACGTGATAACCACTACACTACGGAACCGCACAAAGGTGGGGAACGTCTTAAATTTAAAAGAACAAAATTAAAAAGCTTGCATAAATTAGATATCATTGCAATATTGGGCATGATTAAAGTAAAGGTACATAAAAAAAATTATCCCCGGGAATTCCAGCGTATTCACCCTGCAACGCTTTCCCCTGGATAAAAAAAAACACCCGGGGCTTGGCCCCGTCCGGGATCAACGGAACCTTTGGGTTGTGAAGGAACGTGATAACCACTACACTACGGAACCGCACAATAGGTAGGGAACG